CAAGGCACTGCGTATATGCGAAAACGCGTTAAGTGAAAGCGCGTTAAGCGGGGTAAAACTGTATATATATATATATATATATATATATATATATATATATATATATATATATATATATATATATATATATATATATATATATATATATATATATATATATATACAGTAGTACCCCGATTTACGCGGTCAATTGAACCCACAGGGTACCGCGGAAAGTGAAAACCGCGTAAAGTGAACAACAGAACATATGGGATTAATTCCAATAGAGACTGGCCCGACCCCCAAACTCCACTTTTTCCGACACAATACCTATGTTGTAGTAAAAATAACATCTAAATTTTATGATGGTATGCTCACACAATTAATATTTAAGAGAAATACAGTCGCCAGGTTAATGTCCATTCAAATAATGGACTCAAATCCCCCCCCCTCTTCCCAGCTCACTAGCTCCTACCTCTCTGAGAAATGTTTGGGTGAAACCACTAGATTTTAACGTTTAGTAATAAATAATACCTCAGACTAAAGTTAGGATAATATAATTGATATTTCTGGATTCCTTGCAGGTCAGGGAATATTTTGAATGTAAACTTCATATATTTTGCACAAACGATAAAATATTTGCTTTGTGTAAACCAAATTATTACATTAGATCCAAAATTTGTATGTCTAATACAAAATCCATGATGTTTATATTCAAAATGATCATCATATTGTAAGAATTCCAGCAATGTAAATTATATTCTGGCAGGGTAATTTGTATGAATTTTATGAGCTAAATAAAAAAAAATTAAAAAAAAATTATACTTCACCGCGGTTATGAGTAGATGCACCGCGGAAAGTGAAAGTCCGGTTCTGGCAAGGTACCGCGTAAATGTGCGGAAAGTGAAACCGTGTAAAGCGTGTGTAAAGTGGGGTAATACTGTATGTACAGTATGTGTTGTCAAAGTAAGAGAAACAATTGAGACCCTGCAATTGTGTGTAAATGAGGTAGAAAGACAGATCAGCATCCAGGGACTTGGTCATAATTTTCGTGATGCCATATGGCAGCAGGGTCTACCATTAGACAATACATTGTGCTTCCAATATCTTCTCAGGCGGTAGTACTATACCTCTCTGTTTAATAGCTGCTGACTACCCACAGTTTATACTGTACAGTGGACCCTCGGTTAACGAGCACAATCCGTTCCAGCATGTTGCTCGTTAACCGAAACCATTGTTTCAATGGGTTTTGGGGTAATTGGTTCCAGCTCACAGAAAATTGCCTAAATTCAACAAAAAATGTAGAAAAGCACACTTACTTTGGGGTGTGTATGTAGAAGGCTCTTGAATGATGATGATGATGGGAATTAGAATGGGGATGGAGAAGGGAGAAGAGAAGGCATTGGGGTGGAAGAGAAGTCACCCCATGGTGCCATTTCACCCATAAAATTTTAGTTCTCTTGGTGTAATTCAAGAATATTTTCTTTAAATCAACACTGCACTGCATTATATATTGTCAATATGTAAAATAAATTTTAAAATGACCAATAATTTGCTTGGAAACACAGAAAAAAAGCGTTTAGTTGAAGAGAGTCTCAAGCAATATGTTACCTCCACTGAAAAGAGAGAGAGACTAACGCCTGTTTGTGTGTTAACAGGCTGGATGGCGTGCCAGAAACTAGTTTCTTTACCTTCAATTATGTTCAATAATTGTTAAAATGATTAAAAAATATTAATATTAAACTTTTAAAATTATTGAATAGTATAAACTTCTTGATATTTACTAAAATAGTAAGGAATTTAAGCCCTAAAACCGATTACTGTATTGGGGGACTAATACTACAGCTGGTGGACCGCCAAATGCAAGCGAAAACATGTTGAGGTCGGCTTGTAAAAAACTCGTTAATCGAGGGATTGCTCGTTAACCGAAGTTAAGAATCTTATGGAAGGTAAATCGTTAACCGAGGCGCTCGTTAACCGAGGGATCACTGTACAGTACAAGTGTAATACACCTGTATTGTTTTTTTTTTATAATTATACTGTACAGTAATCCCTTGGTTAACGAGCGCCTCGGTTAACGAGATTTCGGTTAACGATTTACCTTCCATAAGATTCTTAACTTCGGTTAACGAGCAATCCCTCGATTAACGAGTTTTTTACAAGCCGACCTCAACATGTTTTCGCTTGCATTTGGCGGTCCACCAGCTGTAGTATTAGTCCCCCAATACATTAATCGGTTTTAGGGCTTAAATTCCTTACTATTTTAGTAAATATCAAGAAGTTTATACTATTCAATAATTTTAAAAGTTTAATATTAACTTTTTTAGTCATTTTAACAATTATTGAACATAATTGAAGGTAAAGAAACTAGTTTCTGGCGTGCCATCCAGCCTGTTAACACACCAGACAGGCTTTAGTCTCTCCCTGTTTTCAGTGGAGGTAACATCTTGCTTGAGACTCTCTTCAACTGGACGCTTTTTTCTGTGTTTCCAAGAAAATTATTGGTCATTTTGAAATTTATTTTACATATTGACAATATATAATGCAGTGCAGTGTTGATTTAAAGAAAATAATCTTGAATTACACCAAGAGAACTAAAATTTTATGGGTGAGATGGTGCCATGCGGTGACTTCTCTTCCACCCCAATGCCTTCTCTTCTCCCTTATCCTCCACCCCCATTCTAATTCCCATCATCATCCAGGAGCCTTCTACATACACACCTCAAAGTAAGTGTACTTTTCTACCTTTTTTGTTGAATTAAGGCAATTTTCGGTGAGCTGGAACCAATTACCCAAAAACCCATTGAAACAATGGTTTCGGTTAACGAGTTTTTCGGTTAACGAGCAACCTGCTGGAACGGATTGTGCTCGTTAACCGAGGGACCACTGTATTGTACAAGCCTTCTCCTACTTTTCGGTTGGGTGATTGTACATACACTTAATTTGATTTTGTGGGAGAATTTTTTTATTGCCTAAAACTTCTACAATCCTTTATGCCGTCAGTACAGGTTGACAATCCCTTATCCGAAATCCTTGGGACCAGATGCATTCCGGGTTTTGGAATTTATCGGATTTCAGAATGGTTGGATTTTTTTTTTTTTTTTTTTACAGGGATCAGTCCACCCGGGCACAGCAGGTCACTGACTCACATTGGGGCCTGGGGGCTAAAATATAATAATAATAATAATTATAATAATAATAATAATAATAATAATAATAATAATAATAATTATAATAATAATAATAATAATTCATAGGTCTAGGTCATGTTTCTCACTTTTGATCTTTTTTTCATTCTTGTATTTCTTTATTATTATTATTATTTCATTATTACAGTATTACTGTTATTATTATTTTTATTATTATTATTATTGTTATCATTCTTATTTTATTTTTGTGTATTTTTTATTAAAAATTTTATTTGCTATGAATAATTATTATTACTACTATTTTATCATTATTATTATTACCTGTATTATTATAATTATTATTACTATTACATTTTCACCCCCCAGGCCCCGATGTGGGTCAGTGACATGTGCCCGGGTGAGCTAATACCCATTAAAAAAATGCTCCACAAAATTTTTTTTCGGTTTTCGGAATTTCGGATAAAGGGTTGTCAACCTGTACTATAAGATGAACTTTGAGCTACTTACAGTATTTGAGTCAAGATGTACCCAGTACCTTTCTGTCTTTCAATTTTAATAGTTGTTTGTGTGCAGTATAATTTAACATTGAGCATGCACATAAAAGACCTTAGTTGTCAAGTTGTATTAATACATTATAACATCAACAGGGTAAAATTTAATTCAGTAGACATTCAATGATTATTCCTTGTTATCTACTAAAATGTACAAATCATTTAGCTCAATACAGTACAGTATCAGATTATCTGTAATTATTATTGGTCTCATAATTGTGATAAATTTTTGCCATACCTATAAGAATTCTGATTGTAAGAAACCTCACTTTTATCTTAGTTTTGTATACAGTCAATGAGCACTTAATAAATATAATGCATTTCTGAAAACCTGTATATTAAGTAGATGTATACATTAAGTGGACATTAATTTCCCATATAAACCCACGTTATACATTGAGATACGTCCCAGAACATCCTCCCCCCCCCCCAATTTTGTTTTACCCCAAATAGCCTCTAATAATAACAGAATGGTGAATTATGAACAAATAAACTAAAAATAGTGAGAAAATTTTTTTCTTAGGTTATCATATCACTTGCACACTGGACTTAAGGAGTAATTACAGATGAGAAGAGAAATTATTGCTTGAAGGTAGAGGAGTACGGTAACTCTCATGGGGTTTTGCTAGATGTAGCTGCAGTTGACTTTAGTGTTTGGGTTGTAGGAAGTAGTAAATGAAATATTTGGTCCCATACGAAATACGGTAGCTACATTATACACAGCCAGCTTTGACTGCTTCCCTTGCACATCTACCAAGGGGGGGGGGGAGGCATTCAGAAATTGAAGAGCAAATGCATAACAGTGGGCAGATCCAATACAGGTGCAATGTATGTACATATGTGTGGACATACTTGTGTATGATCTGACATATAGTTATTGATATTGAAACAGTTTATTTAGCCAGAAAAACACAGACACAGAGTCGATAAGAATAGCAATATTGTCATGGCTGAGCCAGTTGAGAGCCTGAGCTTTCTTGAAGGCACCTGATATATACTGTACATTTATCTCAAGTAAGTATAGTATTATGTAACATTTAGTATCATCTTGAATAGTACACATAACATGGTGGTACAGGTAGTAAGAACATATCAGAATGTTACCACGGTTATTACTTTGTTATATATTTTATTTATTTTTTTTTTACATTTATATTATAGGTATATACATATTTTACAGTGGAGTTGATATACATTAATATATGGGAGGTAAGCAATACAACACAGATTAAGTGTGTTGATGGTCTACTATGATGACAATCAGATGATGAATGTGATATCAGATGTTTAGTTGAGTGTTTTTATACATGTGCTTTCCTAGCCTGTGTACCTGGAGAACACCCCATTTGGCAAGAGGAACACAGGTGAAAGGAGGGTCTACATCAGTAATGCTAACACAGCCTTCATAGATACATCTGTCTGTGTTGACCGGGTGCTGAGGAATGTGAATGAAGTCATTGTGTACAGCAGCAACTCCTCCATCACCTGCTCAAGTGGAGAATTCAGGATATACAATGTTTCTATAAACACTCTACCACATTATATTTCCAGTGTTTATATTGATGGTTCCAATGTTGATTTACTTCATTTGAATGGGAGTCAGATACAAAACCTAAGTATCAGAAATTCCACTGTTCGAGATGTTTACATTACTGGTGTTATAAGGGCTGGCATGACAATAAGATTACAAACATCAGATATAGATGTGTTAAGAAATATCACAGTAGAGGGTAATGCCCAATTATTTGCATACAATACTGAAGTGAATTATATACCAAAGAGAGCAATACGATTTAATCATTGTAAAGTTGATATAATCAAAACTAAAATAAGCCACACTAGCAATGACAGCATTGTAGTATGCAATTGTACAGATGATGAAAGGAAAAACTTGAATCAAAGTTTCACTACAATAACTACTGGTAACTGTTGATCTCTAATGTAATTTGATACCGTAAGGTACTTGGACAAAACAATTATTTTTTTTTTTCAAACCTTTTCCCATTGAATACAGATTGACTGGAAGTGAATATACACAAACTAATTTATTCTTCATTTGTGTCATTCATGCATTCTTGGCACTCATACAATATCACTTATTTCTTTTTTTCCTTTTTTAAGGGCATTAGCCCACCCGGGCACTGGTCATTTTTAATGACCCACATCAAGGCCTGGGGGGCGAAAATATAATATAATAAAATAATAATAATAATAATTATGATGATGATGATGATGATGATGATAATGGTAATAATAATAATAATAATAATAATAGTAATAAAATTAATATAAATATATTTAATAAATAACAATTATAATAAAAGAAAATAATAATAATAATCATAATAACAGTAATAATAAATTAATAACAATATTCAAAAATAAATAATCATAATAAAAGAAAATACAAATACGTACAGTAATAATAAAAGTTTAAACAAATTTTAAATAATAATAATACCCCCTGTAATAATAAAGAGCCATTAATAAATACAAACCAAAAAAAATATCAAAAGTGAGAAATGATATATGTATGTTGTGTTGTTAATACAGGTTGACAACTGTTACGAACCCCTCCACCCAGCACTACGAAGCACGCCATCTATTGTCCTGATCTACCTACCCAGCACCACGAGCAACGCCATCTAGGGACGAGACACGAGTATGACTCGTCTTAGTTACCACTCCGGGGTTTCCCTTCTCCATATCCTGGTTGTTGCGTCACTTCCTCCAAGTCTTCTTTGTGAGCTCCAATTCGAGGAGAGGGCACTTGGCTCTGGGAAGTGACCACAGGATCATCTATCCTATAAACCTACGGTGCAGTGACTACCTACCGTCTTCTACAATACTCAGCCTTACTCGTCAGCCATCTCAGCTCCTCACTTAAGTACTTGTATCTTGTATTGCCTCCCCCACGTCCACTTGCTTCAAAATTGTTTATGTTGTATTAATATGTATATACTGTTAATGTTTAGGTTAAGTTTGGTTAAGGGTAATTTATAAGCTGAATATTTTGTTTAGGGATTTATGGTACTTTATTATACACAACAAAAACTCGCATCCTTTGTCTACCCTTTTATAGTCCGATTGTCTTTGTTTTGTTTTTTTGTTACCTGTT